CATAATAGATAAACCTTAATTTTTTTTAACAAATTATAATTATTTATATATATTAATTCAAAAAAATATTTATAAAATTCAAACACATCACCCATAAAAGATTAATGATTATAACCCAAAATTATATTAAAAATTAATTATTTAAAGTATAAAGGTACAAATTTTATATTTAACTAATAACCTGCACTTTGCAGTGTGGAAGGTTGAGAAATTTAACTCAATTAGTAAATTTTTTAAAAATAAAGCACTCAAAAATAGTGCATAATTTTTCTCTCCTAATTGTAGGACATTTGTCTCACATCATTTATATATATAAATGAAATAATTTATATAACATTTTACGCAATTTTAGATTAACCAATTTTAATTAATCAATTTTAAATTGTAATATATTTTATTCCTTATATTGTTCAAAAAAATACGTAATTAAAATATATATAAAAAAAAAGAGTAAAATGAACTGCCCACTAATTCCGCGAGGTACAAAAATCAAATGAAATGATAGCTAACAATAGCTAGTATATTCTTTGTGAAAGAAAGCAATGGCCGGTGTAAAGCAGAAAAGGGAAAAAATCTGAAACACAGACCCCTAAATGCCAGCTAAAGAAAAGAAAAAAGAATGGTTTAATACGTAAATAACCATTTTGTCCCTCACTACCTAGTTCAGGAGGGAAGTTACAGAGGGAAATTGAAGGGTAAAAAGGTGATTTTAAATATGGAAGATGATGCTAGGACAGAGGATTTAGGGTAAAAAGACCGCAATACCCCCAAAACAGACCTGAAACAACAAACACAGTATTTTTTTTTTTTTTGAACATTTTGACATGGAACCCGCCCAGCGGAAGGAGAATGCACCTGTTCAATGGTTAATGCCATTGGGCCTCTAGGGCAAAGTGCCAGCAAACACAATATTTGAGCCACTTTCGAGATCAAATGGTAATTACAATGTGAAATTTCGAGATGAAATGGTTAGAAATTGACCGCGATTGAATGATTTTCACTCGCATTTTTAACAATCCTTCGGCTAAGTCCGGATTCCTATAGAGAGAGAAAAAGGAACATAGAAACGAAATAGAAAGAAAGGGACTCATGAGCTCTGCTGCAATTGCTTTTTCTGCAGAACTCTAGCAATGCATGTGCTAGTGTCCTCCGATTACCGCCCCTCGTGAAGAGAGTTTGTCTTTTACTTCCCCTAAGGGCCCATCCCTGCAAAACTCTGGCAATGCATGTGCTAGTGTCCTCTGGTTATCGCCCCTCGTGAGAAGAGTTTGCCTTTTAACTTCCCCGAGGGGCCCATCCTTGCAGAGCTCTAGCAATGCATGTGCTAGTGTCCTCCGGTTACCGGCCCTTGTGAAGAGAGTTTGTCTTTTACTTCCCCTAGGGGCCCATCCTTGCAGAACTCTGGCGATGCATGTGCTAGTGTCCTCCGGTTACCATCCCTCGTGAAAAGAGTTTGTCTTTTACTTCCCCTAGGGGCCCATCCCTACAGAACTCTAGCGATGCATGTGCTTGTGTCCTTCGGTTACCACCCCTCGTGAAGAGAGTTTGTCTTTTAACTTCCCCAAGGGGCCCATCCCTGGAGAACTCTAGCGATGCATGTGCTAGTGTCCTTCGGTTACCACCCCTCGTGAAGAGAGTTTATCCTTTAATTCCCCCAGGGTCCCATCCCTGTAGAACTCTAACGATGCATGTGCTAGTGTCCTCCGGTTACCGCCCCTCGTGAAAGGAGTTTGTCTTTTACTTTCCCTAGGGGCCCACCCCTAGGGGCCATAGAGTAGGTTTGCTCTCTTTTTTTTATTTTTTTGTTAAAATCTCATTTTGGTCCCTGAATTATTGTACGGACCTTTAATTTAGTCTCTAAACTAAAAAAACTCTGATTTGGTCCTTACTGTTTACTATTTTAACCCCAATTTGGTCATTTCGTTAAATATATGCCTATGTGTCTCGTTACTTGACGGGGAAAAGGATGACATGTCAAATATTAATACACGTGGAAGACAATAAGACTAGAAAAAGTGATGACATGAACAAAATAACAATATAAAAAAATATTATGAAAAATAAAACTTAAAA